GAGGAGGATTTTGGTATGAGAAGTCTCCACAGTTTTTTTCCTCAGTGTGTAGATCTGAAAAGAGAAGGGGAGGGTTCTTTTTCTGTAGGGCTTTATCTTCTATGAGTCCTTCTTTATGTGCTGATTGTGTTCTGGCCCTGGAGGAGCACTCTAATAGATCTGCTATTCCTTCTCTCTTCTGAAAAGGGCTTATTGTTATGCTTTTTCCTGTTTGTTTCTCAAACTTGATTGCTGTATTTTTTACATGTACATTACCTGTTAGAGCTTATGGTCAATTTTCTTTTCCCCCTCCCCTTTTGGATACCACTTCTGATTTTCTGAAATACATCATTTTACTTCAGATAGTTTCCCTGACTTTATTATTTACCCATGTTGCAATTTTTTTCCTAGTTTGTTTAAAGGCTTCTTTTATGTGAGGGCAAGCAGTTATCTTCTGCCAGTGAGCATGAATGCTTTACAAAAGCATGATCAGGAAATAATTATAGCAAATTGTTTTGGCTAAGCATTTGTGCAAAGGGGCATACAGGAAAAAATGAGCCAGAATATAAGCACAAGTTTTAAAAACAAAAATAATACATATTTTTAACTCTTTCATATTTTATAATGCTGAATAAATTGCAGTTATTTTGCTTTAACTAGATTTGAAGAATATCCGATTTCTTTAAACAGCTACTGTCTTAAAAATCATCTATGCTAGATGAAAAACCAAAGTTTTAATTACTAGAGAGGCAACCAAGTCTTGCTTAGCAGTAGAGAAAATGGGTTTGGTGGATGGACTATTCAATGGATAAGGAGTTGGCTGGATGGCAGCATCCAAAGAGTTGCTGTCGATGGCTCAATGCCCAAATGGAGATCAGTAACAACTGGTGTCCTGTAGGGGTCCATACTGGGACCAATACTGTTTAATATCTTTATTGACACAGACAGTGGGATAGAGTGTGCCCTCAACAAGTTTGCAGATGGCACCAAGCTGAGAGGTGCAGTTCATATGCTTGAGGGAAGGGGTGCCATCCAGAGGGACCTTGACAAGCTTGAGGAGAGGGTCCACATGAACTGCATGAAGTTCAACGAGGCTGAGTGTGAGGTGCTCCTGCACCTGGGTCAGGGCAATCACCAGCATCAGTACAGGCTGAGGTATGAATGGATTGAGAGCAGCCCTGAGGAGAAGGACTTGGGCATGTTGGTAGATGAAAAATCAGACATGAGCCGGCAATGCGTGCTTGCAGCCCAGAAATCCACTCGTATCGTGGGCTGCATAAAAAGAAGCGTGGCCAGCAGGTCGAGGGAGGTGATTCTTCCCCTGTATTCTGCTCTTGTGAGACCCCACCTGGATACCGCATCCAGTTCTGGGGTCCCCAGCACAAGAAAGACATGGACTTCTTGGACCCGGTCCAGAGGAGAGCCAGAAAAATGACCAGAGGGCTGGAGTGTGTCTCCTATGAAGAAAGGCTGAGAGAGTTGGGGTTGTTCAGCCTGGAGAAGAGAAGGCTTCAGGGAGACCTTATTGCGGCCTTTCAGTACTTAAAAGGGGCTTATAAGAAAGATGGAGACTTTTTACCAGGGCCTGTTGCGATAGGACAAGGGGTAACAGTTCTAAACTAAAAGGGTGTAGGTTTACGTTAGGTGTAAGGAAGAAATTCTTTACAATGAGGGTGGTGAGACACTGGAACAGGTTGCCCAGAGAAACTGTGGATTCCCCCTCCCTGGAAGTGTTCAAGGTCAGGTTGGATGGGGCTTTAAGCAACCTCATCTGGTGAAAGATGTCCTTGCCCATGACAGGGGCATTGGAACTAGGTGATCTTTAAAGGTCCCTTTGGGCCCAAGGCATTTTATGATTTTAAGTAGAGAGAGATTCCTGGCTGACTATTAATAAATGTGTAATGTATGAATTTGCTGAAGATAGAGCGAAGAACACGTGTGCTGTCAGTAGGTATTCAGGAAGATGTGCATGTTAGGATATCTGTATTCAGAAAAGTGGGGGGGGCCAACAGGAAAGTTGGCCCTCTTTCATTTGGATTAAACTATACTGGGGATGTCTATGTTTTATGTAGTTAAGTTCTAGTTTAATACTAAAAAAAAGATTGAGTTAAGAAGTTTTAAGAAATGTGACATTTCTTAGTTTTGTAAGCAAAACTTAATTTTTTCAAAAGCAAAAAGCAAATGTTGCATTAAATGTTGCAAAATTGCAAGTAGGTACTTGACACTGAGCCCTCACCTTGTCCCATGTACAAATGCTGCTGATTCGGACTTCTGCCATGCACTGACAGACGTAAATCACCAGTTTTCCAAGTGAATGTACTTTTCAAAACAAAATGTATTTATAGGAAATTAAAAGCTGCTTAAAGATAATTAAGGAAAAAATAATTCAGAAACATGTTTTTTTCCTTGGCTTCTTCCAGGTACTAAATTTGGGATTTGTGTTTTCCTTTAAATGACTGTTAAAACCTGGAACAATCCGTTGTTCAAAAAGCCTATCTCTACAGAAGTATGTTCTTAATTTTGCTGTTTCTTTTGGTTCGTTTTTTCTTTTTCTAGCTTGGATTTTCTGTCCTTACATTTAATGCTAAATTTGGCTCTCTGCTACCTGGAATAAAGTAATGGGATGCTAGCAACAACCCATATTATCCTGTTGGTTTTTGGCATATTCCAGATGTGTGGTACTAAGATACCTGACTGCACACAGCTGGTGCTTCAGGATCAGTTGTTTGCAACTCTTCCATGTTTCCCAGCACTGTGGTGTAGCTTTCTTGATACTTTGAACTGCCCCATCCCCTTTTTTTTTCGTGATCATTTCAGAGCTGATGGACTGGTCGGGTGTGGTTCTAGCATATCTACGTGAGTCAGCAGTTCTGCCTCCTCATAGCTGTGTATGTCATAGGTGAAGGAGCTACTGTTCCTATCTCTTCTGGACTGGTTTCAGATTGGCAAGGTGGCTTCTTGAATCTAGGCTGATTTCACATTTACTCACATACCTGTGAATTGCTTTTACTAGTATTTTGGGCTTTGAGATTGCTGACCAGGAATAACCAAACTGACTCTGCTAAGGCTAAGGCACTGCCTGAATGTAAGCAAAATGTTTCTGGCACTGTAGTGGCCCAGAAGTAGTTTAGCTGTAGTTGCACATCATCCAGCCAAGCCAGTAGCCAGGATGAGTGACCCACAGTCTGGTCAATCACCTGTGAGTAACTCAAAGTTGAGCACTGAACTATGAGTATAAAACAGAGAAGAAACTGATTGGAGGCTCTTGATTTTTCTGCCTCTTTTTTCCCTTTCCCTCGTGGTGGTGAAGAGTGTTTATATATTTGAATTCTAGAAGTGTATTGCTTTTTGTTGTAAAAGAAGCATGTAAGTAATTCAGAATATGCAATTAGCATTAGTGAGAAGTAGTAACAGTTGTTTTAAAAGTGGATGTCTAGCTGTGAACTGTTTATAATTTCACTGTTTTAATGGAAACCCTTTCAAGCTGAGCAGACTCTGATACTTATGCTTGGACAAACTGATTTTTTTTTTTTTTCCAGTTTGTCTTTTGACAGCTATGCAAAGTTTTAGTTAAAACTGGTTTTGACAGGAAAGGATAGAAAAAAGCATCTCATGTTTGCAGGAAGAAGAAATCCTTGTCTCTTGGAAACTCAAATATGACTGAAGAATATCTGCATGTTAGCTTCAGAGCGATAAGTTGTTATAAGCAACTTGGGGAGCATGACCTATATTTAAGATTGTCTAATCCTTTCTACTGTGTGATCCTGTTTACTGTTGCATTTTACTTTGTTGAATGTAAACAATTCTGAATTATTTTTTCTGAGCTAGCAGTTTGCTAAAAGTTGAATAAATCTTAGGAAGTTAAAGATACTGGTAATATCTTTATTAATCTAGTTCAGTATATTGCATTGCTCAGGGCGTGTAGGAGGGGAGGGGTCTTTTGGCTTTGTTTCAACGACCATTTTATGGAAAAACTCCAATTCTTCCTGTCTTCAGGAATGAAAGAAAAAATTGTCTATGAATGGTCATTCCGATTATCAGGGCTCTATTTTTGAGCTAATGTGCTTCTAAACATGTGTGTTGTAAACAAAAATACAATGTAAGTCAAGAATATACTTAAAACTGGTTTGGCATTTTGTAGCTGGTCTTTTTATGTATGAAAGCAGCAAATACCAGACAGTCCTTTGTTAACACCTAGGGTTGAAAGAGAAAAGAGCAGCATTTTTTTCAAAGCCATATATTGTGAATAATCAGAGGTTTTCACAGCAAGTAAATAGCCTTGAATGATGGAGTCCTGACTCAGTGTGGAAGGAGTTGTTTCCAATTACCACTTATCAGTCATACCTGTGAAGTTGGTTAATGTATGGTTCTCACTATGTAGCAAACTTCTGATGGATATATGTCATGCTGGATTGCTTCTGCTAGGAGAAGTATGTACAAGTAAAAAGTATTAATAGAGTTATTACTGCATCCTGGGAGAAAATTGTTGCAAAACTCCGTGGTTGTTCAGCCTGGAGAAGAGAAGGTTGTGAGGAGACCAGATTGCGGCCTTCCAGTACTTAAAGGGGGCCTGTAGGAAGGATGGGGACAATCTTTAGCAAGGCCTGTTGCAGTAGGACAAGGGGTAATGGTTTTAAACTAAAAGAGGGTAGATTGAGACTAGATACAAGGAAGACATTTTTTACAATGAGGGTGGTGAAACACTGGAACAGGTTGCCCAGAGAGGTGGTAGATGCGCAGAGATGTCCCTGGAAACATTCAAGGTCAGGTTGGATGGGGCTCTGAGCAACCTGATGTAGTTGAAGATATCCCTGCTCATTGCAGGGGGGTTGGACTAGATGACCTTTAAAGGTCCCTTCCAAGCCAAACTATTCTATGATTCTACTCGTGTACCGTGGCTGTTTTGGTGGTTAGATATTAATGAAGTTACAAAGCCGTGTTAAAATTGAGAACCCAGCTGGATTTTTGCTTAAGCATTTGTAATACTTCTCATATATTGTTTCTCTGAGTTAATGCAGTGAATGGAGGAAGTCTATACTTTTTCCAAATCTGATGTTTTAAGTGGCAAAATTGCTACATGCTCTTTCTCACTGAGCTGGATTTTTTTTGTTTCATGGAAAATAAAAATATTTGATTCAGCAGGCATATGATGATGAATGTAGTAAGTATTTCGTTAAGCATTTATTATGCTTCCATAAAGGTAGTCAAGTATATTAAATTTTTTGCCCTAGAAAGAAAAACTTAAAGAGAACTACCGTATTTACATACTGTATGTATTTCCTTTGTAACTTCACCTGCAGATGTCTGCTGTATTTAGTGCTATAAAACTAGGTATATGGTAACCATTGCAATGAAAAACCTGTTATCTTTTAAGCATTTTGGATCTTACATTATATCTCATTGGGCCTTTTTATTTTTTCTGAAATGGGAATGCATTTTCTGGTGTAATAGATACTTAAAATCCAATGAAAATTAAAAGTGGCATTTTCTTGTGGAAAAATAATGTAATTTTATACTGCTTAAAACTGCAGAATATATTTCTGATGATAACTTTTTTTTTTGGCAGTTGTACTCGCTAAATGATTATAAGCCACCCATTTCTAAAGCTAAAATGACACAGATCACCAAGGCAGCAATCAAGGCTATAAAGGTAAGACATTGGCTAACTTCTTTTGACTTCCATTCCATCTCTCATCTGTGTCAAAATAACTGAATAGCTTAAAAGAACTTGCTGCAGAAATTTCTACCTCCCTTATTCTGTGTACAGTTGCCAAGTTATGATCAAATGTGATAGTGATGGGATTTTCAGGAGTGCAACAGAAGGCTTTATTTGTTGTGTGACTTTCATTTGCTGGTTGTCATATGTGAGAAAGAATTATACCAACTTGACTCTTCAGTCAGATCTGAAAGACAGGTTTTTTTTCCTCAGTTTAAAAAGCAAGCCCTGACTTTGCCTGAGAACAGATGAATAAATACAAAACTACAATTCTCCCCCCCTCACCCCCCAAAAAATATAAGACATGTGCTTTTGGATCAGTACAATTGTTGAAGTTTTATTTCATTTTTATAAATTTCTAGCATACAAGGGTGTTGTTCATAGATTTTATTTTTGGTGTTGCCTGCCAAACAGCAATGGAGCAGCAGAAAAAAGTCTGAAAGATTATGAAGGAAAGAAGTATGCCATTAGTGTTAAGCATTAAAACAAGTGGAAACTCAGTGAAAGCTGGAGAGGTAAAAAAGAAGATAGGATAAAAGCTAAAAACCCATGAACTTATGCTCTTCCTATCTGTGTTCCTCTGCTGAGAACGCAGATACATTTTCAGATAATGAAATCCATGTTGGGATGTTCTGTAATTTGGAGAGAGAGCAATTTGATGACAGAAGAGTGAAATTCACTGGCTTGCTTAAATACGAGAAGCCTGTGTAAATTAGAGTCTGTGTTGCAGTATAATGAAAATGCTAAAAACTTGTATTGAACATAAACAAGTAGTAAATGTTAGTAAATGGTTCTATAAATTAAACAATTAAATGTTACCAAAATGTTTTATCATGTATTTAACTCGGAAATCCTGCTTCCAGTCTTACAATTTCAATGATGACATTTAATTGTGTAGAGCAGTTATTGAGATGATGTAGAGCCATTGTGATGATAATCTGAGATTTAAAAAAAAAAAACCCAACAGGCTAATTTTAAAGAAAAAGTATTCAGTAGATGTTATAAGGTCTTCCTATACTCATGTTTTCAGGTTATTAAAGTGAACACTTGGAAAATAAATGAAATATAAAGAAGTGCTATGCTTAGTAACCTTAGGCTAACATATTCAGTCGTGTGCAATGAAATAACCATGTGTTTTTGAAGGAACAATTATATTATTCTCTTAGCCTTCACTAAATAAGCACGTTATTGAAAAAAATCCGCTATAAAAAACCTTCAGAAGGCAAGAAAAGGTGAGATTAGCTTTTTTATATGCTGTTAAATGTTCTAAGGAAGACAGCATACTTAGCTGTGGCTACTGGATTGCTGGTTAATCAACCAAAGTTTCTAATTCTGCTTTTACTGTCAATATTGCATGACTTGAACAAGTATATGCATCTTCAGATTTTCTCCTTTACTGAAATGTTATTTCATTTTCCAGTTCTACAAGCACGTTGTACAGAGTGTTGAGAAATTCATTCAAAAGGTAAGTCAGTCATGGGTATTTTGTGTTAGCACTGAGAAAAATTTCCTCATTTTGGATTACAGAGTATTGAAGACCATCGGGTTCTAGGTATACATATGGATTAATAGTTTTATCACACGTTAGTTTATTTCAGTTTTTAGTCACGTTCAGTTTCTGCTAGTAATCAGTAGCTGATCATAACCCATGATGCAGAAAGACAAATACTTTGTCCCATTTTGTAGTTACGGTATACTTTGATCTGAATGACTGTGGTTGCTGTCTTAGGACTACTTCTCTGTATGTATTTATTTAGTGTTAAAAGGGGCTGTCAGTGTAGCCCATGTGAACAGCTTACAGCAAAAGAATTGACAGTGGTTTGGTGGGTGACAGTTGCTTTTGCTTTTCTGCCAGGTTTTCCCATAGATTCTAAAGCTGAAGGGAAGAGAACCATTCAGCCTCAACTTTTGTGTAGCATGAGATAGAGCCTTTCAGTCGGCGGTTCCTGATAGTAATTTAAAACAAAAAATATTTATATGACTAGACTGGAATTACTTTTTTGGAAGATGCAGTATTAATTTAAAGATTCCAAATAACACAGAATTTTATTGCATTTTGTTTTCTTGCAACAGTTAATTATTCTTGGGTAAAACTGCATTTCATCCCCAGTTGGAAATGCATGGATTCCAATTTGTGAGTCTTTCCTCCTTGTCTGCATTGTATTTAGAATAGAATAGAATAGAATCGTTTAGGTTGGAAAAGACCTTTAAGATCATCCAGTCCAACCATTAACCTACACTACCAAGTCCACACTAAACCAGTCAAGGGTAGACTAGACTAAACCATGTCCCGAAGTGCCACATCTACCCGTTTTTTGAATACTTCCAGGGATGGGGACTCCACCACCTCTCTGGGCAGCCTGTTCCAATGCTTGACCGCCCTTTCCATGAAGAAATTTTTCCTAATTTCCAACCTAAACCTCCCCTGGCGCAGCTTGAGCCCATTTCCTCTCGTCCTATTGCTAACCACATGGGAGAAGAGACCAATACCCACCTCACTACAACCTCCTTTCAGGTAGTTGTAGAGAGCAATAAAGTCTCCCCTCAGCCTCCTCTTCTCTAGGCTATTTGATTGTTCAGTTGATCATTTTGATACTGAATTTCTTCTCCTTTTGTAAATAGGAGTAAATTATGATCAAATTGCCTTTTTATTTTGACAAACAAACTAGAGAAGTTAGTCTGTTAATGTTGCAATGTTGGATGTAATTTTTGTTCTGTTGCACATTTTACGAAGCAGTCTAGATTGCTCTGTGTCAGTAACCTGTCTTCCTCATTTCCTTTTATTCCTTGGTGCCCAGTGTATGCTGCAGTGCCTTTTGGCAGTGGTTGGACAGTGTAAACAGGGTTCAGCTTCAGCTTGGTGTTTTTAACTGTCTCGGAACAGTTCATAAATTAATCATTTAGGTACTAGAACATCAGTCCTATGTGGAGAAGGTGTCATATGTATGTTTTGTGGCACTAGTAAAGATTAGTAGTATACTCTGCCATCACTGCTAGTGTTTTGTCAAGTAGTTGTGTTTTGGGGCATCACCTCTGACTTTTTTCCACCTCTAAGAAAAGGGATCAATATCCTCTCATCCCTGTTTAATACTACAAGTGGACGTAGGAGGATGAGAGCAGGTATAAATCTTACCCATCTCTGATCAGTAGCACTTTGCAGTTTCATGTCCCGAAATTAATCCTGAATTGCCCGAGTTCCAAATACTGCATTTTAGTTGCAGGGGCTGTGATTGGCAATTCTGTATTCAGAGGCATGAGGGAAGATTTATCCTCTGAATGGAAGAGTGGTAGTTTCTCAGGAATTGGACTGTTTGGTTGTGACCCTTCCACAGGCTACTAAGAGTACGGGTTATCTTCGCACATTTGTGTTTGGTGTCTAATACTACTTGATAAGGGAGTTCTGCACTGGTCATTGCTGGCTAGAGAAGGCAGATGTATGTTGTTATTGATAACCTTGTTAATAATCACTCTGGATTAGGTGTTTCCCTTTGGTGGCTTAATTGGTTTTTTTCAGTATTTTGTGAATGATTTGGTGAAACATGCAAATTATTAACAACATCAAATAGTAAGTTCTTATTTTAGTAGAATCAGAGATAAGCAGATGAAAGCTCTTTTCTAGCCATTTGATATTTACAGACTTAAGTTGTATGTTTGGAAGATAATTGGATTATTTTTCTGGAAGCAATCACTTCAAGTTAAAGCTCAAAACTACTGAATCTTCTATTAAAATCTGCCATAGACTTGTCCAGAGTGATGTCAGTGCCATCTCAATTAGTTTACTGTTGATTCTTTCCTATTCCAGTATTTTCTTTCTTCAAAATTAATCTCACAAGGTTACTGAAATGTCAGGTGAAATAATTGTCTGTGACATTCTTTGTTTTGTGACACTTAACTGACTGGTCCACTGTCATTTTGGTTGACTTTTATTCTCTGGCAAAATATCACTTCAGGAGTCAAATGACTGCATCCCATATATGTAAGGATATTCCACTGTGAGAGCAAGATATGAATAATTTCTTTGAGTAATCAAATTATCGCTTAGACTCACTAGGAAAATAAGTGTGAACATTTGTTGTGTAAAAACTTACCTCATCTCAGATTAGGGATATGCAGGCTCACTGCCCCAGCAGTCGTTCTTCTTTATTTAATTTTTTATTTGTATTTTAATTGTCTTTTCCTTTTTTGTCATCTGTATTATTATATTAATTTTCTTGCTTTCTCTGTGTGCTATGGTTTTAAATACTCCACCTAGCATATTTGCTGAGTTTTCTTATTAAATATCTGCATTTTTTATTAATTTCAGTATTATGAAAAGTCATATACCTGTCTGTTCTGTATGCAGAATATTCTTATTTTTGGTAGTAACTTAGCTAAAATTTGAGTAGCTACAATACATTGAAATGATTCTCTGAAGACAGTGCATTATGTGCAATTAGATCTTAATTTCATAATTTTAATAATGCCCATTTATTCTTAAAAGGATGCCACATGTTTTTAAAAATGAAGAATGCCATACTTGAAAACACTGGACCATGTTTAGAGCCTAAATAAATGCTTTATCAAGGTTGGAAATGTTAGCAAATCAGCACTTCTCAAAACAGGAAATTTGTATCTAGGCTATGATAAAATTAGTAGTCTGAAGAGTTTGTTTGGCACTGTATTAGAGATGATGAATTTAGTGTGTTACATAGTATATATATAGTACATAGACTGTCTGGACCAGAGAGGGAATGGGTGTACTTTCCCATATTTTCCGTAGTACCTTGTGTGATAAGTGTGTACAACCATATTCATAAAGTGTATCCATGTGATAGTATATTCCAGTGATTAATTCATTTTTTTACCACTTTCCATTCCATCTTAAAACTGTTGCACTAGTCTGGTGCAATTACTTTGTAATTAAAAGGCAAAAAATTTACCTTTAATTGTTAAGTAAAACTATCTAAGCGATGAGTATTGTAGTTAGCAGACATGCTTTATAAATACATTGCTGTTTGTAAATTATGCAAGCTTTCCATAGTTTTAAAATAACTGTCACTGGTATATTCTCAACCAAACAGACATCCACATAAATATGTTCTTGTTCTGGTGGGAGCAGGATGTACCACACACTACTTACAACAATGTAAAATAAAGTAAACAATTATTAACTTTAATATTGACTTTGATCATAAAGGAGGACAGACAGATTTTGAATTATATTTACAGCTACTCCTAATGTAGTATTAAGAATTTGGTCATGCTTTATGCTGTTCTCTTAAAATAGGTGTGTGCATTTAAAAAAGATACGTGGTTCATGTGCTAATTTTTAATAGCTATATTCTAAAAAGCTTTTTTTTAGTGGTAGTAAATTGACTTTAAACCATTTACATGTTTGCAGAATACATCTATATGTGATAATTTGAACATTAAAGGTTAGCTATTTTTGAGAGAGTTTAGTTTTTCAGGAGAGTTTGTTAAATAGAGAACAGTTTGGTAATACTTTGACCCATTTAAAAATTAGAGAGGACTGTTCGTATTTCCTCTGCCATTAATGGTTTTTGGTATTTTTCACATATGCACATTTTAAATTATTATTCTTTGTAGTGCAAACCAGAATATAAGGTACCTGGTCTGTATGTCATTGACTCCATTGTAAGACAGTCCCGGCATCAGTTTGGGCAAGAAAAGGATGTATTTGCTCCAAGATTCAGCAATAACATCATCAGCACTTTCCAGAACTTGTACCGTTGTCCTGGGGATGATAAGGTAAACCACTTATTATAGTTTTTTTTCTAATTAAAACAATCTTTAGTATGTTATCTATGAAGAATAAAGATTTTGATCTCACTTTCTGCTTGCTAGAGTGGATCTAATTATAGACTTACACATTTATATGTATGTATTTTAATTTTGCTTGTCTGAGTGTAGGGATAGGGGAAGACATGCCCAATTAGATTAATTAGAATTTCACAAAGGTTTTTGGGAAGACTGGTGGATTTGAGTTAAAATATTTTGATGGGAAAAAAACCTAAGCGGGCATTTGGTAGGACAGGGAGTTGCAGTCGGTCTTTTAGTCTTTTATTGTCTTCTTCCCCTCTTCAGTGAGAAAATGAACAAGCAAGTTTCGTATAGTGTCAAGGAATAAACAATCTTTCTTGGTAGCAGTAACTGCAGTGTAAACTAGTGTGTTTTGGACTGAAGGAGCAATAGAAGAACAGCAAAGTATCTTAAAGTTACTTTTCCTTTGATACTGAATCAGCCAACAGCTGAATAAGGCCTAACTTGAACAGTTTGACCCAGTAGTTCAGCTGTTCACTTGGACCACAGCTGTCAAGATCACTACCAAATTATCTTTATAGTAGGTTGGCTGGAAATAGCAGAGGGTGCAGGCAGTTTAATTTCCTTCATACTTGTCATTGATCTTACAATAGCTAGAGTTTCTTATTTATTGAATTGAAAAATTATGAAAAGATGTGAAATGCTACGGGCTTTATCTTCACATAAATTTGTGTAATAGAGTCATTAAGTCAAGTAGTGAGTGAGGCAGGACACTGCAGGAAGAGAAAGACAGGTTATTCTTTGAAGAGTCCTAGAGCTGTATTTTTCAACCAAAGATCTGCAAACCCAAGGCATCCATGGAAGGTGATTAAGGCAAGTTCAGCCATGGTGTGTCTCCTGCATTTGTCTTGGGGTTCTTGCCTTTTTAGAGGAGTTAGGACCTTTGCAAGAAAATATGTCAGGATCTGCAAATTAAGTGGTTGAAAAACGCTGCTATGGATGTCTGTCTCCTCTTCTGCAGTGGAGTTCTGAGGTGCTGCTGAACAGGTTAAGTGAAATGACATTTTTCCAGTCTGGTTTTAGGTTATCTGCATGATCAACTTGCACTGCTTCACAGTGTGTTACATACATTTAGGCATGATAGTTAACTTACATTTTTCTTCACTTAGGTGTATTCCTTAAGCAGTATTACTTTGTTTTGTATAATCATTTAGCTTACTACTTTGGGAAATGTGTTAACACAGAAATAGTCTGACTTGTTGAAGAAGGAGAGCTGGCACAAAGATGGGCGCAAGTACTCAGTTTGTGTCTGGCTTTAAAAAAAGATGGTAAATTTATTATAGGGTAAGAAATAGTGCCACTTCTTCTGTGATATTTCAGTGCATGGCAATTAATGTGTCACATTAGAGGTGTTTGATGTTGTCGTGGTTTAACCTCATCCAGCAACTAAGCACCACACAGCCGCTGTCTCACTCCCCGCCCCCAGTGGGATGGGGGAGAGAATCGGAAAAGTGAGAAAACTCATGGGCTGAGATAAAGACAGTTGAATAGGCAAAGCAAAACAAGGAATTCATTCACTACTTCCCATCGGCAGGCAGGTGTTCAGGCATCTGCAGGAAAGCAGGGCTCCATCACGCGTTACAGTTACTTGGGAAGACACACTCCATGACACCAAATGTCCCCCCTTCCTTCCTCTTCCCCCAGCTTTATATGCTGAGCATGGCATCATATGGTGTGGGATATCCCTTTGGTCAGCTGGGGTCAGCTGTCCCGGCTGTGTCCCTTCCCAACTTCTTGTGCACCCTCAGCCTGCTTGCTGGTGGGGTGGGATGAGAAGCAGAAAAGGCCTTGGCTCTGTGTAAGAGCTGCTCAGCAATAACTAAAACATCCCTGTGTTATCAGCAGTGTTTTCAGCACAAGTCCAAAACATAGCCCCATACCAGCTACTGTGAAGAAAATTAACTCTATCCCAGCCAAAACCAGCACAGATGTGAAGAGGGATAGGAAAACATAGTCTGTTTATGATCTGTAAAGCTCCTATCAAGTTCATTTCTAGGATATTTTTCCACCTCAGGGAAAATGTATTTTGCAGTCTCGAGTCTTGCTGTTATGTTGCTTGTGGATTCAGTATTACAGGAAAGTCTTTGTGCTGTGAAAGTAGCTACCATATATCTGACCAGCAAAAAATTGTGCTATCAAAGATACCAAGGTTATATACCTGTTTTCTAGCATTTTTATGTTGAATCTGATTAAAAGGCATAACAGCGAAACACAACAGTTTGTTTGTTTGGTTGTTTTTTTAAAAATCAAGCAGAAGTATAGTAGCATTTCATTTAAAGTAGCAAAAAAACCCCCACTGATTCCTTCGTCAGGCTCAGCAAAGTGCAAGGGGGAGATAGATACTGAGGTGCAGAAACAGTTAAATTCATGTTCTGGGCAGGAGAGGCAAGTTAGAGCCTCTGATGGACTTGTCAGGGACTGCCTTACAAAACAAACTTTCAAAGAAGAAAGGCTCGCGTACTGTAGTGCTGAATGGAAGCCTTCAGAGATTTCTTCAAAGGCACACTAAATTACATCTTCCATGCAGTGAAAATTCAGCACTCCTCTCTATTAAATTTAAGTATCCTCTTGGAATTCTGGGCAGACAGACTTTTTTTTTTTTTCTTTGGTTTAAACATTGTGTGGTTAAGTACTTTATGTTCATATTTTATAGAATTTAAACAATTAATGCAATTAATGCATCTTTGTGACAGCAAACACAAGATCTTATGAAGAACTTTCGTTCTTTATAATACAACTAACTTCCTCCCGCCCCAAAATACGCAAGGTGTCTTTTTCCATCACATACATTACTATCCAACTTTTCAAGATCAAGCAAAATCTTGCCTCTGGGTAGTGAAGCTTAGAAAAAAAAAGATTTGGGAACAGATTAAAACAGTGGAATAGAAATGCTGAACAATAGTTACATGTGATGGAATTGTATGAAGTCTTAATTTTGATTTTTTCCTTCCCTGTGATCCACATTTTTAGTATTACTATGTAACTTTAATAGGCAGGGAATTGTGTTCCAGTTGAAATTCCTCACTTCATCAAAACAGCTTGCAAAACATTGAGCTACTTTCTTAATAAAAGCTTTTAGCAGTCTTATTAGTATATGCCCATTTTTCAGTTGACCTAAGTAATTTTGGTTCATAGATCAGAATTGCATTCATATATGTTGACTATAAAAGTTTAGGAGACTAATAATTCCTTGCTTTAATTATTAGTAATGCTTTAAAATGTTTCCTTAAAATAGTTTTCCTTTCATACCATTTTCCAAGAGTAAAGGTATAAAGTGTCAGATACATTTGTTTTGTTTTATTATATTTCATTTGCTGTTAAAAGATGACTGTCGCTATGTGCATAGTGTCTCTTCACTGTTGCCTAGGCATCTTAGATAGGTCAGCCTCAGGTTCATAGGTTAGACATCTTTGGTGTGACCCAGTATAACTGTTCTTATGCTTCTGACTGTTTGTAAACCTAAAGGTGCTTCAATCTAGACAGATTGACATTGCTTGTTAAGAATTCCATAATTGAAAATAACAAGAAAGATAAGCATGACTTGGGTCTTTTGTTATCCTTTCTTCATTTTAGAGTAAAATTGTTCGAGTGCTAAATTTATGGCAGAAGAACAATGTGTTCAAGAGTGAAATTATTCAGCCTCTCTTGGATATGGCAGGAGGAATTCCTCCTCCAGTTGTGACCCCTGTCTTGCCCAGCACTACAGCTGCTATGAGCAACAATACACCAGGTAAACAAAAATAGGTTGAAATCATACTTTGAATCAAAATGTTTTGTGTCAGCTTTGGTATGTTGGCTATGAACATGCTGAAAAATCTCACTGGTTTTCTTTAGACAAATCAAATGAATGCTAGAAAGAAATATATCGTAGCCAGTGTCCAGATCAGCGAAATACCAAAAACAAGAGGCAGCCTGTTGTGTGTACTTCCCAACTGTATTTTATGAATGTATTTAGATTGAGTAACAGTGCAATAAGACCTACTTTTACACTTGGCAGTCAAAACAGTAGATCACTGAGAGTTAAAAACCCAACACAGCACTTAGTGCAATCTTTGTTAATTAGTGGTGCCACAATTGAGAGAAATGATACATCAGTATCTTTTTGCTGTCCATAGGATTGAGCTTGCTGGATCATGTCAGACAGTGGTCCTTTACTTTTGCTGGCCAACAGGCAATGATTTTGAGGGGAAAAAACATACTGACAATATAAGCTGCAGCCAGTGACATACTTCCCTCTCTCTCATATCTGAAGTATGTGGGCCAGAAATCATGCTGGAGAATCATGTGGGCAAAGAAACTGCTCATGGAGTGTGTCCAAAGTTAACAAAACACTAACATTATTATACATGCAGATGTGATCATTCTGTGCTCTAAAGCATCTTCCTTTCGTAGGTAGATGGCAGGGAACTGGCTTTTAAACTTTCTCCATTTTGTGGAGATCTTTTCATTCAAGATTGGGATGTATGGGAAATTTTACATACAGAAATTTTTTTTTGGCACATATGGACCTGCTTTTGTCACCCACCTTTTGCTGATCCCATGCTGAAAAGCAGTGAGGTGGACAAATCCACCTTATTTTTCATTGGTGTCTGTAAACATGTAAAAGTTCTAGCTCTCGGATTTGATTTACTGCATCTTCTAGCTCAGTATTTTTTATTTTAATTAGTTTGATTACTTTAAATTGTTGAAATCATAGCCTTAATGCTTTTTTGAATTCTGGTGCAAATTGTCTTTTAAAACAGTAATCTAGTCATTTACATCTAGTGTTCAGCGTATCTCTGCTTTTGAGTATTTTCAGGGTTGGAGGATTCTTCTGGATTATGTCATGAAACTAGTTATCAGATTGCTGATTTAGTCTCAATGTTCCTATTGAAAAAAATGATAAAATGGGCAATCCTCATGAATCCAGCTGCTGCAGGTTGGAATTTGTAGTAGAATCCTTAAGGCTCCTCCTGGGGATAAAGTGCAAGTCCAGTAAGTTCTGGACTAGCAGATGTTTCTGAGTAGACTTCTAACAATTATCACTTGGTATATATTGTTTCCACTAAATGTTTTGGATTACTATGTGAAAACTATTTATTTTGCATTTGTCAGTGTTTTTGTTAGTAGCTCCAATAGGTCAATAGCGGAAGGAGCTGTGAACTACGCTTAGTAAACTTGAAACTACACTTTACTTACACAAAGTAATCGTGCTACTTGAGGAATGTTGATGTGAGCCTGTGTTATTTTGGTGCGCTCTATGTGTGTGTCAGAAAAATAGCCTAAATTGATGTTAATACAGTGCTTTCTCAATATTTAATAACTGGTTTTGATGTCCTAGGAAGATTATAGTATCTTTATAATTTGATTTCTTGCAATCTAGAAATCTTTGCTGTAGAAAATAAACAGGAATGTTCACGTCTGGCTTATAATTTCTTTTTATGGCAGGTTTGGGTGGTTTTTTTCCTTCTCTAACAGTATTTCTGAGTCTGCATGTTAACATTTTGGCATATTGGATTTTCTGTTTTTTAGGAACACCTGTGACTCCAGTTACTCCAGCCAATGTGGTGCAGAGTTTACCTGATCCTTGGGTATCCCAGATTGCTAATACAGATACCCTTGCTGCTGTTGCACAGATTTTACAGAGTCCTCAAGGCCAACAGGTAAATATTTTGGAGACAGTTACACTATACTCTGTTTGATACTTTGTAAGGTACACTTAAGGAATACTACTTTCATGAGTATCTCTTAGTTTTGTGTCTGGTATCCATCTTAGCTATCCCATGAGGTTGTTCGCCACAAATAAGTTCCAGGTAAACTAAAACTTCCTGTTAACCTTTTGTAACCAACCCCGTTTGTTCCTTAAAAGTATTGCAGAATGTGATTTCAGATAAGATGGTGTGTAATACATACTTTTCTATATAGTACTGCAGATTACTAAGTCAAGAGCAGCATTAAGATTTCATGGATATAGGTAAAAAATAGAATGCCAGTTTAAGCGTATTTCTCTGCTGGATGCCCCAAGAAGCTAAACATTGTACAGAATTATATAATGGGAGTGTACTCATTCTAGAAGTGCATTGTGTGTTGATTCTTTTTCTTTATCTTTCCATCAGCTAAATATAGTTTTTATTTTGCAGCATTCAAAAATAAGGTCTTAGAAGTGACTGTGTTCCTCAGTTTCTAAATGCTCAACTCCAAAAAAGTGGCTTGATATGTGCAGCATGTATTGAACTCCTTGTCCTCTTAATCTGCAGCCACCGAAGTTGAGTGCACACAATCAGTTTTCTGTAAAAATGTAGATCATAATTTTTCAGTTTATGCTAAAACTCTGGCACCAGCATAGCTTTGGCATTATGATTTTTATTTGGACTGAGGAATAGGATGCTTTATCTGCTGGGGTACTAAACAAAAATCCCATGCATACAAATGAGAAGCAGTTACCAGTGAGCTGTTACAAAGCACTGATGCTGACAATAACAGCTTTACTTAGTGAGATTGTTTTATGGTGTTCAGCTAGGCAGAGTCGTCTGTAATTGTTCATAAGTCAAGCAAAGGGAGTATTTTCATCTGATTACACTGAAAGAAATTGATGGGTCATTGAAAAGGAGAGCAAAATGACTTTGTGGGATACTTTGTGAAATGCGGAGGAAGGATAGTGGAATGGCTCTTAAGGAAGGGATGTGAAGTGAGAATGGGAAATACATGGAAAGTCATTAAGGTAATTTTAAAGTTTATTACATAGAGAGTATTCTTTAAAAAAAGTTTAAAAAAAAGGACAAAGCAAAAGAAAAATATTATGATGATGAGAAAGGAATTAGAGTTTCAAAGAGCAGATCACAAAGTAGTAACATTTGGGTATTTAGCTCAAAATGGTAAAATGAGGAAGAGAGTGGATTTGGGGAGAGGGAAAAGATGCTTTTAAGCAGAAATGTGGAGACAGACTGGAGACTGGGTACACAATAAATATGTACATGCAGATCTCTAGGATTGGTAGATGAACTGTAACATTTGCTTCCATCCTGTCCATCTCTTTTCTTCCTGTTCTCCAAGCCACTCCCACCCCCAAGCTCCAAAGTCCTTGATTTCATCTTAAGATTGTGTTTTACGAGTGAGAATGCATGTAGGTAAATTGAAAGCCTAGACACAGGAGAGGGCAGAATAAGAAAGATGTGACCAAAAAGAATGTGAAAACAGGTAGAATGGTGACCACCCAGGATTTTCCCACTCTGGGGCTTCCATCTCTGTTTCTTCAGTTTGATTCCTTCCTACTCAGAGCAGCACACAAGATGGACCAGCCATATTTGCTCATCTTTTGTGGATCAGCCAAGTAGGGAGGGGGGAGCTCTTCAGTTTTGCCTGTTGCAGTAACCAGTGAAAGCTCTTGGTGAGCTAGAGCAATAGCTGAAGCATTTTCAGAGGCTGTGCTGTATAAGGAGTCTGTATAACTGTTTGTAAAGAACAGGAAGGGTTGTTTCACATTATCAGAAGGTAACTCTAAAACAATCTTGAAAAATGATCATACATTTTTGATGCATTGTGGAAAAGATGATCAACATAATCAGCTTATGCAGAGTTTCTAGTGAGTCCTAGTAAGAAGGGAGGGATTGAACCCTCTAAGAGTTCAGTGATGAACCCTACGAGGAGGTGGAATATGAACATGAAGATAATCAGGGACTCATGTCAGCATAGTTTGAGCTACCTGGATTTGCTCAACCTGTTTTCCAGAAATACGCAAAAGTAAGGCTCCACGGCTTTGCCTTATGGAAAGTCAGAGGACTGCTTCCTCTAATTCCATGGTACTTTAAGAGGGCTTCTTTCCATAAGGATAGTATTTTTTCCTTTTGTGTTAAGGCAAACCTGTACAATTTTATGGGAGCATCTCTATTCAACAGATGACTAGATCTGCACGTGAAAAAGCCCTTTATTTCCTTATTGGGACAGCTCCTTTTAAAAAATTGCATACAAATAGGAAATTGGAATAAGGAAATCAAGATAACACCAGCAATTGGATTGCACATTTGTTCTAAAAAAATTATGAAAGATATTCTATTTTTCTTTATTTTCTTCCTCTAGATTTGAAGGAAGAGACTATTAGGGTATCCTGATACACTTTGATGAAATGTCTTAGGTCCATTCACTACACTTTTGAAAGTTTCTTCTCTGATAATATTTAGTACTTATTCCAGTATAATCCTAGAACTCTCCTGGGTTGTGAGTGGAGTTGTTTAAACAAACAAACAAACCACCCCAACCACCACACTACCCCCCAAAACTATTTTAAAATAATATTTGAAACACCCAACACTATTTTTAAATAGTATTTTTTAACGTCTGTCTTTTGGCATTACCCATACTTTGTTTTTGCTGTAACATACTTTGTTGTTACTGTACGTCTCTTTGTTGCCCCAGAGCTGCTGCTTCTGGTTAAATGTTGCATCTAGGCAATTTTTATCCTAAGGTAGTGCTATACAGAGCCCAGAGTCTGTGCCATTCCAGGAAGTCAAATTATATTCCCAGTTCCTGGTTAATTTGCTTTTTATTTTTTGTTAACATAGCAAGGGAATTGCATTCTATCAGTGCAGACCCGAGTCTCAGCATGAGATGTTCCTTGTGACTAATCTAGAGACACTAGTGCAAGCTGTTCATATAGACATGTTGCATCAGCTTAAAGTGGAACTTGCAACAGTGCAGTTATTTTCTCTACACGAATGTTGTTACAGCATACAGATTTTCCTAATATAGGTGGGCCCTTAGGAAGCTGGAGTAGGCTAACAGATTTTTTTCAGGTCAGAAGGAATCAAACTGGAGAAACAGAAGAGGGGCAACCCTAGAAAGCAGGAAATCCTGAGTGGTGACTGGTCATCATGCAACCTGTCAGAGCAAGTTAGGAGGAAGAAGCATCTGCATGTCTTATCAGCCACAGAAAACAAATTAGCCAGTAAGTGGGAACAAAATTTGCTGTAAATGAAAACAAATTAAGATGAAATAATAGCCATAGGTTAGATGATACTGCATTCCTGAGGGTTTTTTTTCCTAATTGGAAGGGGAAAAGACTAGTTTGTTTTTTGGTTTTTGCTTTTTAAAAAAAAATTCTTATTTAATGATTTTGTTATCTTTTCTCTTTTAGCTTCAGCAGTTGATACAGACGCTGCAGATACAGCAGCAGAAACCTCAGCCTTCGCTACTTCAAGCCCTGGATGCTGGTCTTGTTGTTCAGTTACAGGCCCTCACAGCCCAACTTACAGCTGCAGCTGCTGCTGCTAACACACTTAATCCACTGGAACAGAGTGTCTCTTTTAATAAGGTAGAAGTAGAATAATAGAAGTTTGAAGAAATATTTATTGTTAAAATATATGTAAGTGAAAGACTCTTCTTTTGGATTTTACCTTTTGACTTCAGAGATTTTAAAACCACATGAATATGCTATAAAGTGCTCTATCTTGAAAATTTAAAAAAAGTGTCGAGACAGTAGTATAAAAGAAAATACTGGGTGTATATGAGTTTAGGGCTAAATGGCATTTCATAGAATATCTCAAGTTGGAAGGGACCTGTAAGGGTCATTGAGTAGGAAGATGGATTTGATTTAGCAAGGTTAAGCCATTGTTATATGTTTTTCTTCACCCTTTGTAACACATCGGTGAGAACTGAGCGTGTCTTGTATTTCCCCTTCCTGTGTTCATGATCTGAGGTAGGAAATGATTTCTTACAAGGTAATGAAAGGGAAACATGCAGAAATTTATGTATGCTGTTTTCCTAGAAGATTAAAATGTGATTGGACTTGCAATTTTCTTACATTATAATTCTATAATTATAATGCTAAGAAAAATTGTAATACTAGCCACGAAGCGATAAAAAGTGAAGAAATAAGTTTATGACTGTAGTTAAAACTAGTCATGTGATACTTCTTAAAGTATGTCAAAATGTAAAAAAAACAAAACAAAACAAAACAAACCCCTGTAGGTAAAGAAACTGTGTGTGTTGCCACATATGTGCTTATCTTAAAAAAATTAAATAAATACAGAATGCAGGAATTTAAGATGACTAATGTAGTTGAATGCCAGGTAGCAATAACCATGCTGGTAATTACAGTAATAATAGTATAATATCAGTGGAATAAAAAAGGAGGAACTTTTACTCAAAGATAAATAAATAAATAAATCTTAATCCATTATCTTTGGAAGAACAGCTTGTGAGTAGGTAATCTCTGTAGGATTGTCCTGGAGTGAATAAAGAATAAGGAACTCAGAGAAGCAAAAACCTTTCTTTTCCTAACCCGGATAATCTCTTTTTCAGGCAGTTGGCTGCTCAGAACTTGACAAGTGCCGAGTTCAAAGTTTTAGGACAATTTATCTTATATTTCTAGAATTTGTTCAGCTAAACTCAAATCTCTGAAATAATAGAGAGTTGTTATTACTAATGAAAGTAATGCAGCTGTAAAAATAATTCAGGAAAAAAAAAATGGCCTGTACTCATGCTGTATCACAGCTGTAACCTTCAACACAAGTAGGGTATAATCACAGGGAATGAATGCATCAGTTAATAGGGATTGCCTTAATATTTAGATACAACAAGTAATTAATATGGCACTGTATTGTGGTTTATTCCGCAGACTTTAATTCTAGAATTTATATGGATAGGTGTACTCATAGGTGTGGCTGTCTTGAATGTTGGACAACTTCACTGCAGCAAATTGAAGGAATTGGCACTCTGTTGAGATGTTTATGTACCTTGAGTTCAGCCTGATGCTCTTTAATGAGTTTATGTCAGTAATAGTATGCAGGAGTCTTGTCATGAAAGCTGTCAGCAGAGTGAATGTACATGATTGTGATTTCTGGGACCTTGAAGGTAAGTGTTGTGGAAGGAATTCCTGTGGCAGTCTGATAATTTACAAGCTTTCAGTAGGTATATAGTGTTGATTTACTCTTGTAAGCTGTGGAAGAGTTGTGTTTATAGTATGTGATCTGTACCTCAGTTCTGCATTATACAAGTAGTGTTAGATTATAATACATGTCAAATTCCTTGTTCAGTGTTCTACAGCATCTCTATGAATGGACTGATAATGTATATCTTGTTAGTCTATTGAGGCTTTTGTGCAAGGGTTATTTTAGGCTGTTTTGCCGAAGTAGCATATAGTTTTAGAATTTCCTTTTTCTTTTTTTTTTAAAATATAACATTGGTGGTACCATACTGATTTTCTCCTTTTTCCAGGGTTTGAGGATTTCTGAATCTAGGCATTATAGAAGAGTACATATTAATATATATGTATTAATGGGCAATCTTATTTTTGCATGATAAGTTTTGGAGATAATAATTTTCCTTGCTTTTTTTAATGGTTTCTCAGCACCAATATCACCTACCACCCAAATACCACTTCTCAATAGCTGAAGACCATGAGTCATAATGATGTAATTCTATTTATTAGACTCTTTACTTCCATTTTATTGTATAATTAATTGTATAATTTGTTTACTAGACATGGCAACCTTAATGAAGTGTTAAAAAGGCAATATTTACTTTTATAGGAAGCATAGAATCATGGAATGGTTTGGTGTGGAAGGGACCTTAAAGACCATCTAGTTCCAACCCCCCTGCCATGGGCAGGGACACCTTCCACTAGACCAGGTTGCTCAAAGGCCTTGAACAGTTCCAAGGATGGGGCATCTGCAGCTTCTCTGGGCAAGCTGTTCCAGTGCCTCACCACCCTCATAGTGAAGAATTTCTTCCTTATATGTCATCTAAATCTAGCTTCTTTCAGTTTAAAGCCATTAACCATTGTCCTATCACTACATGCCCTTGTAAAAAGTCCCTCTCCAGCTTTCTTGCAGGGGGCCCTTCAGGTACTGGAAGGCTGCTGTAAGGTCTCCCTGTAGCCTTCTCTTCTCCAGGCTGAACAACCCTAACTCTCTCAGCCTGTCTTCATAGGAGAGGTACTCCAGCCCTCTGATCATCTTCATGGCCCTCCTCTGGACCCACTCCAACAGGTCTATGTCCTTATGTTGGGGACCCCAGAGCTGAACACAGTATTCAAGTCGGAGTCTCACAAGAGCAGAGCAGAGGGGGAGAATCACCTCCTTTGACCTGCTGGCCACACTTCTTTTGATGCAGCCCACGGTACGGTTGGTTTTCTGGGCTGCAAGCACACATTGCCAGGTCATGTTGATCTTCTCATCAACCAGCAACCCCAAGTCCTTATACTCGGGGCTGCTCTCAATCCATTCTCTGCCCGGCCTGTATTTGTGCTTGGGATTGCCCTGACCCATGTGCAGGACCTTGCACTTGGCCTTGTTGAACTTCATGAGGTTTGCACGGGCCCATTTCTCAAGCCTATCAAGGTCCCTCTGCATGGCGTCCCTTGTCAACCACACCGCACAGCTTGGTGTCCTTAGCAAACTTGTGGAGGGTGCACTCAATCCCACTGTCTGTGTTGCCAACAAAGATGTTAAACAGCGCTGGTCCCAATATGGATGCCTGAGGAACACCAGTCGTCACTGGTCTCCACTTGGACATTGAGCCGTTCACTCTTTGAGTGTGACCATCCAGCTAATTCCTTATCATCGAAGTGGTTCATCCATCAAATCCATGTGTCTCCAATTTAAAGACAAGGATGTTGTGCAGGACGATGTCAAATGCATTGCACAAGTCCAGATAGATGACGTCACTTGCTCTTCCCTTATCAACCAACACTGTAACCCCATTGTAGAAGGCCACCACATTTGTCAGGCACAGTTTGCCTTTAGCAAAGCCACGCTGGCTGTCACCAATCATGTCTTATTTTCTATGTGCCTTAGCATTGTTTCCAGGAGGATCTGCTCCATGATCTTGCCAGGCACAGAGGTGAGACTGACTGGCCTGTAGTTCCCCAGGTCTTCCTTTTTTCTGTTTTTAAAAATGGGACTTAATGTTTCTCCTTTTCAAGTCAGTGGGAACTTCACCAGACTGCCATGACTTCTCATATATGATGGATAGTGGCTTAGCAACTTCTTCTGCCAGTTCCCTCAGGACCCATGGATGCATCTCATCAGGACCCATGGATGCATCTCATCAGGTCCCACGGACTTGTGCACCTTCAGGTTCCTTAGATGGTTTGAACCTGATCTTCTCCTACAGTGGGCAGTTCTTCATTTTCCCAGTCCCTGCCTTTGCCTTCTGCAACTTGGGCAGTGTGGCTTGAGCACTTGCTGGCAAAGACTGAGGCAAAAAAGTCATTGAGTACCTCAGCCTTCTCCATATCGTGGGTAACCATGCCTCCTGTTTCCTCCTGGAGAAGGCCCTCATTTTCCTAGTCTTCCTTTTATCACTGATGTACCTATAGAAGCTTTTCTTGTTGCCCTTCATGTCCCTGGACAGATTTAATTCTATCAGGGCTTTAGCTTTCCTAACCTGATCCATGGCTGCTTGGACAATTTCTCTGTATTTGTCCCAGGCTATCTGTCCTTGCTTCCACCCTCTGTAGGCTTCCTTTTTGTGTTTGAGTTTGTCCAGGAGCTCCCTGTTCATCCATGCAGGCCTCCTGGCATTTTTTGCCTAACTTCCTCTTTCTTAGGAAGCATCTACATCAGTGTTTTAATTTGAATCAGGAGCATGCTTTTGAGGCGAAACATTTGATTGCTCTGCAATGTGAAAGGATGTGTTGTACATGTAAACAATCTTGAATGCATAAAGTAGATTCATTTGGATTAAGCTAAAGCAAAAGATATGCTGCAGCTACTAATGAGCGCTCAGTCAATGGGGCCAGACTGGAGCTGCTTCAAAGTAACTAGTAATGAAGTCCAAATAGGATGCCCAAATAAAATAAAAACTATAAACCAGATTTTTTTAAGAGGAAAAGTTTTGGGAATGCTTTGCTTCCTGACAACATATCTAGATATTTGTTAGTGATCTTCCAGGATGACCTGAAGTTCTAGAGTTTTTGTATGCATTTCAGAGAGCTTGCAATAGTTTTATATTTAACACAAAATGCCTCAGTTGCAGGTGATGATACTCTTAGAGATATAAGTATCAAAACCCAAGGTGTCAGAACAGTACAATGAACAGCAACATTAGACTGTTAACAGCCTTTGTTTGAGTGCCAGACATGCAGTTGCTTAATCTCTGGGGTTCTAGTCTTTATAAGAAAACAACTTGTAACAAGTGTACTTGTAACAACAGAGCATACGCTGGCAGTGTGCCCTGGCAGTGAAGAGGGTCAACAACATCTGGGGCTGTGTGAACAGGAGTATAGCCAGGTGATTGATGGAAATGATCATCCTATCTAGACATCCCATCTGCTCTAGACTGCATCTAGAGCATCACATCCAGTTTTGCTGCTCCCGCCCCACGCAGGAAAGACATTGGCAAACTGGAGTCAGTTTAGTGGAGGACCACCAAAATGGTCAGGGCTGGAGTACTGCAGCTGGTTCAGCCTGGGGCAGAGGCAGCTTTGGGGGAGACCGAACAGCACCACCACCCCCCTCCCACCCCCCGGCACCTATGGGAAGGTCAGCAAGATGAAGTGAGGCTCTTCACAGCACGGCGTAGTGGCAGGATTATAGACCACAGACAGAAATTGAAACAAAAGGGTTTTGAGTGGGTATAAGGAAAACCTTTTTTCCCATGAGGACAGTCAAGCACTGGAATAGGTTGCTTGGAAAGATTGTGCAGTCTCAGTTGTTGGAAACTCAGACGTTTCCAAGACTCAACTGGATAAAGCCCTGAGTAACCTGACCTGAGCTCACAGCTGAGCTTGCTTTGAGCAGAAAGTTGGACTGAGACCTACTGAGGTCTCTTTCAACCTGGACTGTCCTGTGATTTATGAAGAACAGGTCAGAAGAGATAGTGTCATCTAGTGGATATCGATGAAGTATTCTTACCTGAGGTACAGTGACCAATCCTGAACATCTTAAAAAAGCTGCAGCAGCAAAATTAGAGAATCTAGCAATTCCTGAAAACAATAATTAGAAATATTGAATAGGTTCTGTAGGAGAAACTGAACAGGCTTGTGATGGAGTTCAGAGAATGGAGGATGGGGCCATGATGTGGATGTAGAATTACTTATGTGATTGAAGGCAGTGTCCAAAAGGCAAATGTTCTGAGTTGGCAGACATAAAAAAAGACAGCTTTTATGATAGATAATCAGTGAGCATTGTGATCCAAAGAAAACTGTGAAGCTTAGTTCTCATTCCATGATATAATGATGGTGAATTTGGTAACAAATATAAATAGTGCAGGAAAATATTTCGAATGAATACCTAAGTATCCATCTTTTTTTAAAAAGCCCTATTTTTAATAAATTCAGCAGTTCTTCCAATACTTTGTTTTCAAGCTCTTCAGTCTCCATAGTGTCTTGTGGTAATGAGTTGCACAAATTAATATGCATTACATGAAAAATCCCTTTCTTTTGTCAACATCAAATGTGTGTTTTGTACTATTGCTACATGACCATATCTTTGTGTTATGATAAAGATTTTTTGATCAACATGTCCTATACATATGTCTTATTCCTTATATTTTACTTTCTAAAGAGACTATCCTGATCTGTAAGAAGAATTTTATTCCTTTTGGAATAAAAAGCTTTTTTCATGTCTTTAATCATTCCCACTGCTTTTTCTGAGCTTATTCTCTTCTTAGGTAATTAAAGTAACAAGTGTAGCATTCATGGACAGTGCTGTACTTTTACATGCATGTGTGTGGTGGGTTAACCTAGGTACCCTAATATTTAAGTTGGTTTAATTTCTATTGCTTTATTGTTGAGAGTATTCTGTTGCAATTTATTGAAAAATCAAGATATTTCAGTTCAGATTTTTTCCTTTAATATCTACTATGTTATTTAAAACAAATTTAAACAAAAACCATGCTGCACATTCGCCTGTCTTGGCTGGAAGTTCTTTGGTTTGCTCTGGTCCTGGTTTAACTAAATGATTTTTTTGCATATCATAAATTGTTGACTGCTTTCCATTTGTTCCTTTTCTGAGATGATTAAATAGTACATATTCTGTTACCTTCCTTTCTACTTTGTCATGTTGGAAGATATGTGATGATTAATAATATTTTAAAGATGAGACTGGTTGTTTTTCTAAAATGCGTATTTTTTTAGAGCAGCAGCATTTTGCGAATGCTTTACCTGAAAATATTCTAACAATATGAAAAAAAAATAAAAAGAAGGCAGCCGCCTTGCTTTAAATGGATTAGATATACATGGTGAACATTATTCTGGATTTTAGCATACCATCTCACGTAAGCCTGATGGTCTATGTTTCTGCTGTGTTTTCTCAGAGATATATTCAGTCCTGCTTTCATATATATTAGATTATTTCATTGGGAAGATAGTTCTAAATTCTTGATTGATCAGTCTCTTAGTTAGCTTATGCTTTGTTCTTCTTGCTGGACTCCAGTAACTGAGAGTAAATAGAGCATCCTGAGAAAGAAAATGGGCTACTGTAATCATCATGGCTTGTTACTGGAGATGTGTTTGCCTTGGTATTTCAAAATGACTGCTCTATGTTCTCATCCTCTTGGTTTTTTCTTCTGAGACCAGGATTTGAGAAGAAGTTACAGTGGTTTGTAGTACAGCGTTAACTCTGCTTTTCAGAAAACTTCCAAGGTGTAAAGATGCAAAGACATGGGTTTGATAGCACTGCTCTATCAATGCATAGTTACTGAAGAAAGGCAACCTCAGTGACAAATAACGTTTGTTGTCTGTCTTCATGCTTGTTTTTTAGTTTTGTCTTCAAGAAAATAAAATGCTGCTGGACTGTTTAAAAAATAATAAACAAACCAGACTTTTTTTGTTCAGCAGAACAACAGTGTAGACATCTTTACAGATAAACCAGGAAGTTTATCCCAAGTTTTTCTTTTTCCCTGTTGGATACCTTTCTTTTTATCCCCCTGGAGGCTTATTCCTGTTACATGATAACTGCTTGCTTTGATTTTTGGCAGACTGTGTAAGAAGTTGTTTTCAAGGAGCAGTTTATTTGAAGGAATTCAGGTTGTCTAAATGACACGTATGTGTGAAAATACAGTAATTCTTTGTGAAGTAATCAAGCTGTAGGTCTTGTCTTGATATGAGCAGAGCAGTTTGCTGATTGCCAAAGGATCAAATAGTTGGCCTCTTCATAGTGATTTCTTCTAACTGAAGGTACCATTACGTAAAAATTAATCTTTATTTAAGCCTTCCTCTAAACTAGCTGTTACTTACTATGGAAAAACCATATGGTTATACTTGTAACAGCAGCCAGAGCTCAAGAAAGCCATGGACAAAATTTGGTATGTGCTGCATTCAGGAGTTTGGTAGCAATAGCAGTATGACATTTAATTTTCTATTCAGGTTATTTGCCAAACTTTTTTTTTTTAAGTTAGAGAAATAAGAGCATTTTTCTTTTGAAAAGTATATATATATAAAGAGACGTATAAGGAGTACTCAGTAATGCTTATTTTACTTTCTCCTAGAAGCTGATGGACAGGTTTGACTTTGGGGAAGAATCTGAACAAAATGAAGAACCTAAAAAGGAAACTCCCACTTCCCAACTGTAAGATCAAGCTATGTTTCTTATGGAAAATGCTAAAATTTGCCTGACACTAGTTGAACATTAGGATTAAATAGTAAGGAAAATGTTTTTTCTTTCAGAGCATAAGTATACTAAAACAGTAGGAAGAGAAAAGACAGTTTGGTAAATTAATGAAACATACACATTTTAAAAATACTTAATATAAGTTTGTGTGCCAGAAGTTTTGTTGACTTCATCTTAAAGTTAGCGCGTTCTTTGCTTTGTTAGTTATATTCATAGCGTTAATGTGATACTGATGATAACAGAAGGTGGAACTAGCTACGTTGTCTTCATTATTTTAGGTTTTTAGTTACATTTGAGACTCAGTTGTGGAGATGTGTTTACTAGCTGTTTAAACCAAGAGGAAAAACTGTTGGGTTTTTTTTTTTATTTAAATTATTTCATTTTAGGCCTTTAGTAGCAGAATCTGTGAACAACTCACTTTTTCACCAACTAGCTGAACAGCTACAGCAACAAAATCTAGAACATCTCAGACAACAGCTTCTGGAGCAACAGCAGCCTCAAAAGGTAAGAACTCCATCTTGTGGTTGTCGTAACAATTACTTTCTCCACTGATAAAAAATTCGTACTCTGCTTCAGGACAAAAAATGGTCTTGTTACTGACACTTCTCTTATAATGAAAGTCTTTGTAACTAGCCGATCATCTAACAGAAGCTTGCAGAGTAAGTGGAATAAGTGGAAGAAAGTGCTTAAAGCAGGAAAAAAAAAAAACATCCAAATCTGTGGGCTGTACATTTTGCTTCTCTTAGGAAAGAGGGCCCTTTAGCTGAGTGACTGTGCTTTGGTTGTTCAGCTCTTTATATGGGGGGAAAAAAGCATTTTCCCTGCTGTCAGAAAGAAGAAGGTGAGCACTGAAGTGATTATGCTCCAGTCTGTGAAGGGAGGGCAGCGTGCAAGCTGCTGCTGCAGAACCATCAAGAGGACAGAACACAGATTGTGGGTAACTTTCATTTCCCCTACCAAGCTTTAAGTCTTGGCTAATAAATGTCTCATTCTGTTGAAGAATCTGAACTAAAGAATAGAATCATGTATTTTCTGAGAAATGATTGATTAAGAACTGGTGCGAAAGACAGCCCAAGATTCCTTCTTAACTATGTGAATTGGGCCCTCTCTATATTGAAGAAAATTGGCTTATTTCTTCTGAGGTTAGTCCTCAGTATTTAGCCGCTCTTTTCCCCTCCTGATCCCAGTTCCTGATCCTATTAGGAAAAAAAAAAAAAACCACCAAGGTTTATTCTGTCTTGATACTGACCAGGTATAGAGTAGACTTTTTGTAAAGTATTTGGATCTAGTTTCACAGTAAAATAGAAAACTTAGATTGAAAGAAAGTCTAAGGGTCCACAAACTTAACAAACATCTGTTGGGGATTTTAGTTTAGCCTCTGCAAAGATGCAGTCGCTCAGCTTTCAATCAAGAACATAATTTGAGTTTTGAATTTTTGAATTTGAGTTTTTAGTTGTTTAGAAAAACAGTAATTTAATTTTACTAGATACTATTTGCTTATTCTACTTCTTTATTTTACTATGTTTTATTTTCATTTCTCATTTAAGTGCAGTAACAGAGAAAGTTTGTACAACATAGCTACAGACTAAATAGTTTTTGATGTTATCTTAGTAATTTCTGGCTTTGAACACTAAAAAATGTTGTAAAGGAATATAACTTTGAAGAGTGCATCTGTTTTAGGAGCTTTTGATGTGACATATCTAAAAGTAACTATCTAATTTGAAAATAAAAATGCTGAATGCCTACCTTATTGTAAAATAAGCAGAATTAGAGTTAACTTAATTTTAATCTGTGAAATCAAGTTACAGTACATTTATGGGTAGAAAGTTCATATGACTCACCCCCTATTATTTCATATTCTATTCCAAGTGCTCCCCCAGAAGCTGTTTTCCTTCAGGTCTGCTGAGCTTCTTGTCTAGTCAGTATGGAGAGGAAGTTTTATTTTCACCTCTATAGCAGCTAAAAGATACAAACTACTGCTGGAACTACTCTGTAATGACTGCAGCGTGTTATGAGGAAGATTTTCTTTATTTTCATGTTTAAGCATCAGTGATAAAAATTAAAGGAAAGAGAAGGAAAGATAAAACACAAAATTATTAAGCATCTGATTAGGAGCAGAGGGAGAGTAGGAGAGGATAGAATATGAGACAGAAGGAGCAACAAGAAATGTAGGAATTGATATCAAGAAACAGATTGTTGAAGAATAAATAAAAGGAAAATGAGATGAAACATAATGTTAGAAGAAAAATACGTTAACTGAATTATAGTAGAATTTTTTTATTTTTCTGCAAACTGTCATTATAAGCTGTTTAAAAATACGAAGATAAAACAAAAAAAACTTGTTACTACATGTCATTCTGCTAACTTTCTACCACTGGCAGATAGAATGTCTAGCATTTGTTTAATTAAAGTGAAAATATAATGAGAATCACTGAAATGTTTACCTGTAATATTGGATTATATGTTTAAAATGACTTTTCAAAATTGTCCTGAGAGCATTTCTGAGTATTTTCATTGCATTTCCAGTATTGCTTGAATTTCTTTCATATCTTACAGATATTTATTCCAAATCTGTACAATCCAATGTACAGGCCATTATGGTTTTTTTTCTCTAGCAAGTCAACAATGCATTTAGTATTTTGCATTTTTTAATTTTGGTGTTTTTTCAGAACTGCTTGTTTTGTTAGCTCTCATAATTGACATGCTGACATAAATGACACAACACCCTCCCTTATCTTGTAGTAATTACTTGTCTTAAAGCACACACTGTAAGAAACTTTGGAGTTAAATGTAAATTTTTTAACCAGTTCAATTGGTATTGAAAATATTTTCATTGTATTAATAATAAAATATCATTTATTAATGTGTGTGCATGGGTGACCAATGGGTATCTTTCAGTGTCACGGTACATATGGCTGCCATCGCTATTGTTTGTCCTGTGAGTTTTTGTTTTCAAGCCAGCCAAATTAAGCAACAAATAGTGTACTTTGTTTTTTTTGATTCAGCAAATAGATAGTAATTTTTTAATAGACAGGAATATTAATTATTTCAAAGTTTGGTATTTAAGAATGATACAAAAAAAGGAATGGAATGGAGTGACATCTAGTTTAGCTTTCACATCAATAGGAAGAGGGAAAATAAGAGAAACTTGATAAATAGTTTTTCAGAGATATTTGAACAGTTGTTTCATGGTCTATTACATTTTGACACAGTAAGCATTTTGAATTATGAGGCTTTTTATGATACATTATTATTTGTTATTTAGGCAAGCCCTGAGGAGACTCAAGAAGGAAATTTTGGTTCAGAGCACTCTGCCTCACCATCACAAGGGAGTAGTCAGCAGCAGTTTTTAGAAGTGGAAACAAATGTAGATGATTCAATGGATATTCAACAACAGGTAAAACAATTTTAAATTTGATTACAGAACTTGAAAGGAAAACACATACTAAGATAATTTCAAAATGGGTAATATGGACGTATGCTTTCATAGTCGTATATATTGTGAGTACGTTTATTAAATGTTACTGAATGTCTGTTATGTCTGACCTCAGGACATGGATATAGATGAAGGACAGGATGTTGCTGAAGAGGAGATTTTTGAACAAGAAGAAAAGAAATCAGCTGTTCGTTCAAGATCAAGAACCCGTTCAAGATCTCGTTCAAGGTTTCATAATTAACTTGTATTAAGTAAATGAAGGTTTTCTGAAACAAACTTGCAATTTGTGATTATCATTCTCAATTCTGCATTTTCCAAAATTGTCATGAGCAGTTTTTGGCAATGAAAAAAAAAGTGTTCGTTTAATATTTGTGTGTTAGGCGCAGCCTTTCTGTATGACGGTTCATTTTGCATCTCTGTGGTCTATTTTAAATTTTTTAAGACCCATTCAGGTAACAGAAATACCTAACACTAGCAGCTAGTCAGATTTTCTATGGCAGAAAAGTAGATACTGTAATGGAACACTTTGAATGTGTTCTGTTTTCTTTTAAGTGCAAGGTGTATGTTCTATTCCTCACACTAATGGCATTAAGTTTATTTCCTGAAGCAGTTTGAGTGAATATAACAGAAATGTTAGATATCACACTTCAAGTTTGTAGTTAAAAGAAGACTGAATTAGAGTATTTTATTTTTTTAAGTCAGCATACTGAAATTAAGTATTTTGTAGGTCACCAAGAAAACGAAGGTCTAGATCACGGTCTGGTTCTCGTAAGCGTAAGCACAGAAAACGTTCACGCTCAAGATCAAGAGAAAGGAAGAGAAAGTCATCTCGGTCATATTCCAGTGAAAGAAGGGCTAGGGAAAGGGAAAAAGAACGTCAGAAAAAGGGATTGCCTCCTATACGGTCAAAAACACTAAGTGGTAAGTGGCAGCTGCTTACTGTTTCAATAATGTAATATTAACGGGAAGAAAGGCTTGGTTTGTCTTTCATTGAAAGAACAAGATTTAGCTTGAGTAGTTTAACCATAATCTTTTTGTAAGTTTTATTTCTGACGTTTCTTACAACTTAGACAGGTACATCATTTCATCTTGGAGGAAAGCAAGTATCATACTGTTGTACTGATGATTTTACTCATACTGTTGCACCAACGATTTTACTTCTGAACAGAGACTAGCAAGGGCTGTCCCTAAGTTACAATCTGCTTTCTTTTTAATGCTGTCTTCTGTGGGGCATTTGAAGACGATGAGCGCTTGATCTGAAAATTGGTATGCTGATAAGACATTTAAGTATGTGGTACACACTTTGGACACTTTGAATATCTTAAATAGAGGCCAGTTTTGTTAAACTTTTAGAGTGCTTTTTAAATAGCTTTTCACAGGGACATAGAGCCGAAGCAGGTGAAAATGTGAAATGAGTAATTTGCTATCATAAGACAGACCATAATGGTCGTATCTTAGGAAAGTATACAAAAGCCAACCAGATTTCTGCTTCTGCAGAGTGCTGCTGTGCACTGCTGTTGTTTCTACAGAGAATTTACATACTAAAAATAAGGAAGGTAGCAGGGAGAAGAACTTTCTCCACACAGTTGCTTAAATCAACGGGAATGTATTTTGGGATGAGCGCTAGAAACAGTGAAATTGGGTGCAGTCATTTGCGACTGTATCAGTATATCCCATTGCTGTTGTTAGCAGGACTCTGGATTCTTGGGATGCATAATTGTACTTAATTTATTTTTTTAATGATCTTGTGTTCCCGAATTTAACTTTCTTTAGATAGTTTATATGCAGCCTCTGATGTAGTTTTGCATTTGTTTTGTGTTTTAAAACTATATCATGTATCTGACAAGTTAAGCACTTCAAAATTCATTTTTGCAAAGGAAAGAGAGTTCTGTTCTCTCCACTTTATTATTTTACATCATTCCAAGGTGCCTTTGAACTCAGGACATTACTACAGTTTAGATGTGTATTTTTTCTTCTCTGACTTTTCACGTGAAAAGAGGCAAATCAGTTTTATGGTGTAGGTTTCTCCCAGCAGTCCACAAAGCAGGGAGCTATAATCAGAATGGATGGGAACCGGGAGGCAGGGATGTTAAGTAAACGGATGAACAGCAGCAGCAATTGAGGTCCTGTGAAGTGACCCGGCTCATGGAGACGAGACGTTAAGAAGGCTAAGCGAAGCGTGGAAACTTTGCAGGGGGAAATAAATAAATAAATAGGCAATTCACCTGATAAGCGTTTTACTTCATGAAATTTGTTCAGTGACAGTCACTGTTACCGCTTGCTGAGGTCTGAAGAATAGTTTCATAGAGCTTAACACCATGAGAAACAAAAGGGCCATTGACAAGTATGTGAGGAACAAGTTTTGTCCAAGAGAAATCTTAAAGCTAGTCATTGTCAGTACTACTGAGTGCTGCTGTCACTTGAAAATGTTAGTTGACAGAGGAATGCACAACACTGGTTTCCAGTTTCATGCACCAAGATTGATACAGGAAGGACGTGGGAAGTATCAAGATGATGACGAAGAAAGAATGTTTCCTTGGTTCAGGATGGGGCCAGCCCAAGAGATCCAGGTTGTCTGGTTTTGTTCTGCCTTAGACCCTTTAAGATCCTGGGTGGATTACTCAAGGTAGTAAGATACTTGAGGAAAACTACCAGTATTGGCCTAATATCTTGCTGATTTAGACTACCCTGTGTTAAGTGGAAATAACTGCTATAAGTTTGTCAAGACTTGCACACATAGATTGGGTAATATTTGGAAGACAAAAAGAATTGGAACTATGTACATACGGGAGAAGGAAGTTCAAGCTCACATGTCAGTGAGTGTTTATATTTGGTGAGGGGGACAGGGGTAGGCATTTGGGAGACAAATTGTGGGGATCTGGGCTTGTGGTGGAATCGACAAGAATCAGAATTATTATGGAAATCTTCAGTTCAGTGCTGGGCTTCGGCCAAGTTTGTCTTTCTGGAGTGTTCCCCAAAGTAAAGTAAAAGTATAGTTTCCATTTGTTCCAGTTGAAAATGCAGTGCATAATACTGCAGTTAAGTTCCTCCTGTAATACACTTCTAGCCGGTTAAAACTTAATCTTACTTTGTTAAAACTGACTTCAAATCCTACAGGCATGGTTTTTATGGAACATGGAATAGAAATTATTAGTAATTTCTCCTGCAGTTTACTTTAGCTAATAATCCACAGATTTTTTTTTTTTCATTTCTTTTAAAACAACTGTTTTGTTTAAAAGAAAATGAAACAAGAATGAACACTCGTACTGAGTGTTTGGTGTCTTTTAACCTTTTAACATTTTTGTTCATGTACTTAATCTCTGTATAGTAAGAGATTTACTATTCTTGCTTTTTGATCAGTGATTTCTGTGCAATTGTAAAGCCTTTTATATCCATGCTATAGAGTATTTTATAAGCTAACATTCTAGTATTTTGATTGATGTGAATGTGTCTCTTGACAGTTTGCAGTACTACTCTTTGGGTAGGTCAAGTAGACAAGAAGGCTACACAGCAAGATTTAACTAACTTGTTTGAAGAATTTGGACAAATAGAGTCTATTAATGTAAGTAAGCATGTCATCATGCATTTTCAGGGATTACAGACTAACAACTTAAACATGCTTATGCCTCTGAATTCCTTTTAGCAGCTTAAGCTTGTATTTAGGAGACTTTTTATCATGTTTTAAAAACTGTGGCTATGATACTTGCTTGTTGGTTTCCATGTACTGTCTTTTGAAGCACTAAAGACAGTATACTTGATGGTAAAATGGCTTTTCCCAAGCACTAACAATTTACACAATTTTTTAAAACAACGTCTTAACAAATAAAAAGTTACGTCTTTTCTCTTTTTGTGTTGTGGCACGGGGCTGGTATCATTTTTCCTTGGACTAATGGACACAGCAGTGTGGATAAACATCAGTTTCTTGGTTAAGTTCCATACAGAGGGTTCCTTAAGTGGAATCAACGTGGATAAAACATTTAGAAGAAAATAAATTGTACTGTAAACAAGCGTTTAGTCTAAAATGTGACAACTAAAAAGGTGCTTACAATTTCTCATGATATCTCATAGTTTCTCATGATTTAGTCATTTAGATGTAGATGTTTAGAGTTATACTTCAGTGTTGCCTATAATTCAGCTTCAAGAGAAAGTATTTTTCTCCCAAAATTATGTACCTTCATGAGAGAAATTTGAATTTTTGTCTCTAGAAGTTTTAAAGTGCTTCTCGTGCAGTTTCATTCATTTCAGATAATATTTTTACGATTTTTCCTATCACGTTAATATATTCAGATACATAATTAATAAGGAACAGTTTTTGTGGCATTACAGAATCTTTTAAAAAGCTTCATAAGTCAAAAAAACCCCATAGCCTGACATTTAAGCCTCATTTTGATTTGCAGGGACTAGCAATTAAGAAAGTTCAAAGGAAAGTAATGTAACAACCATAATGTCCCGGTGCCTGTTATACTTCAGAGGCAAACCATATTGTAAATAGTTCATCCTACGCATTCTATAAAGCTTTAAGTACCTAGGATAACATTGTTGTATATCTTAAACATATTTTTGTAACAACTGCATTAAAATCTGTCATCTTAAATATTTTTGTTCATTATGTTACTGTGTCCTTCTAAACAACATAAAAGCACACCTATATTTTATAACTTTTGACTAAAACTAAAATAAGCAGTTGTCATACATGCTTTGCAAACTTTCAAAGATTACCTGCCACACCATACTTTTCTTTCCTAAATAAAACATTAAAGCTAGTGGAAATCACGCTACAGGAATGAGGACTCTACACTTCAAAAATGCAAGATACTTTTAATCACTAGCTTGAACGTCTGTGAAAGGTTGTTGCTCAGCTCATGGTGAATTTGGAGCTTAATAAGAGGTAGCAACCTCTGCTCTTGTGACGTTGTCATAATATAGGTCCCAGTTCTTGCCTGCTCCATGTTGTTCGAAACTTTCATGTTATTTTTAGCCCCCATTCTTCAGCTTGCTGCTGCTTCTTGAAAATGTTATAACTGAAGTAACCTGCCAGTATCACTCTTTAAGTTTTGCTGATGCTCAAAATTGTTAATATTGCTGATTAAGGTAACAATTTTTTACAGTGTAAGCCTTTCCCTTTTTTGTATTAGTATTCACTTAGTGTAGTTACCTAATATGAAGTACTGGTTTTCCTACGTTTTAAGACCATTGCTTTTTTTCCATAGATGATTCCCCCAAGAGGTTGTGCTTATGTATGTATGGTTCATAGACAAGATGCATATCGTGCACTTCAGAAACTTAGTTCTGGGTCCTATAAAATTGGGTCTAAAATTATTAAGGTAAGTTGATTTTAGTCTAAGGATGCTGTCCATTTCAAATACAGTACAGTTTTAATACGACAGTTTGTCATTTAGCAGCTGTTCATTCAAACATACAATATGGAGAAGAAGAATGAAGCAGTAAGGTGTAAATATTTTTCTCTCTGTGTAAAATGGAGCTTTTTAACAGGCGATATGGAAGCTAGTAAAATTAAATTATGACTTGATACTTAGGAAATACTTGGAGAACATTTTATATACATGCTAATGATAAGAGTATGAGACTGTAAACAACCTAAGTCCTGTACTTGACCGCATGGATCACTTTAATATTACATTTGATAGTATTCTTCTAGAGTTAAGTATATGATTAAATGCTGGGGTTTTTTCTACTTTCTTTGATGCTTTAGGATGAGTCCTTGAAATACTGTACTTTTAATTTCCTTATATATATGTTAGAATTAATGTAGGACAAATTTAAGCTTTTTGATGTAATTAATCTTCCACATACCTGTTGTTGCAGAGGCCAAGTAAACTTCCTACAGGTTAATTCAAAATTGAAAACTTGTTAAAACTTTAATGAATAGATACTGAAGATTGATCTGCAGTGACAGAAACATGAAGGAAATTATCTGAAATATTCTGTTCACTGGTTAATACAATTTAACCAGATTCTCTGGTTGGGTTTTATTTTCAGATTGCTTGGGCTTTGAATAAAGGTGTGAAAACGGAATACAAGCAATTCTGGGATGTGGATCTGGGAGTTTCATATATTCCTTGGGAGAAAGTAAAATTGGATGATTTGGAGGGCTTTGCTGAAGGTGGCATGATTGACCAGGAGACAGTAAATACAGGTACGGACATTAACAATGATTATCCTAGGAAGAAAATGTGTTTTATTTTTGTAATTGCAAATCCTCAGAAAGTTTATTGGTTTAGGTAATATATACTCTTTTTCAATTTACATAAATTTTACTAGCTACCTGTTTACAGTATAAATGGCACGGTAATCATGAAATCTAGATTGTCTTTGTAGATGAGTAATTGATTATCATGACAATGAGCAGTTAGTGACAAAGGAGAATTAATTTAAGCAAGTTAATAAAGGTTAGCATTTTTTAAAACAGTTACAAATTTTCTGTGTACTCATTTCCAAGTATATAAAATATTATTTTGTGTAGAAATTATGATCTGCTTGTGATTGTGAAGAGTCTTATATTCAGGTGTAAGATTTAAGTTGGGGTTGGAACTTGTCCAAATAGGCACAGCTTAGCTGAGCCTTAAGGTATTTCTCCATAAAGTCGAAAAGACAGGAAAGCAACTAATGTTAGACCTTACCCTGAAACCCAGTAATCGAGTGGTTTGTTAGATATGTAAAAGGTTGACAAGTACTGTGTTTTCTTGAAACAGATCTAGCACCAAATGACTGGACTGTACTGGAGTAAGCAGTAGATTAAGACTGTTTTATAAGAGCAACAATAATTTTTCAGGTCAAAATGCAATCTTGCTTTGAGTAAAAATTGAATATAAATGACAGAAGAATTAAAACATGAAACATTACCAAAATACATTAACTGTGTTATACTTGAAATAGAAAACTTTTTGAGGAAGTGGCAGAAGGAAGAAATGGGGGTTGGGGTGAGGTTTGTTTAACATGAGGATTCTCTGTCATTGTACAGTAGCCAGCTGATAACACAGATATGTTGACAGCAGCAGGTTTTAGAAAACTGGAGCATACTCTATTACAAATTCTAAACAGAATGATTGGTGAAAGAACTTAGCAAGTTTTGAAAAATCAGTTTGTATACAGGCATAATTAAACAGAGTGTTGCAGGTGATTCTTTAAAATATGTAATAATAAATAATTGCTCTTGCTTCTTTTCATAATAAGTTTCAGGGTTATTTGTAATGACTCTATATAGATACTAGATTAAAATTTAATATTTTAATATTTTTAGTATTTAAACAAAAATAACACATTAATACCTTTTTTTAAAGAATGGGAAACAGCCAGAAGCTCAGAAGCTGCTAAAGAAAATATTCCAACTACGCAGAGTGCTGCAGTTGATAAGAGTACAGTTATTACAACGCAGACAGAAGCTTACACGCAGCCAGTCACCATGCTGCAGGTTTGTATTGGTCTGAGTTTGCAAAAACCCCCGGAACTGGAGGGCAAAGTTTTTATTCAATACAGTTAAAACTTTAATGCTGAGTTAAAGTACTAAAATCAAAAATACTTAAGTCCTGCATCCATGTGTGTTTATCTGTGAAATATTTTAGAGTAGAATCAGTTGCTGTGGTTGAGCAAAATCTTTAGTTTCATGCACAACATATCCTAAACTTGTGTACAGTCTCAAATGAAGGCTTAAATGTTGAAGAAAGAGCAGTTGGGGGGGAAACAAAAAAACCCAAAAAACAACAACAACAAAAAAACCCCCAACCTACTGGCACATAAGTTTTTTTAAGGAGAAATTAAAATGAGCTTACAGAAAGTATTTTGCTAATAGAGCAAAGCATCTTTCTGTAAGCTAAGTAATGCAATAATGCTTTTTTCACTTGTGCTTGTTTCTTCTCAACCTATGTGCTTTTCCTCATATCAGCTTTGAATGTAAGTTTAATTATTTTCTCAATAATTTTGGGCAGGATTTCATAGGGACAGTCTCATCTTTAAAAGATCTGATTATTCAAGTAGCGTGCTGTTGCACTCTATATGCAGTAATTCATGACAGTCTTTGATTCTCTGCTGTATTTTTTTCCTTCTGCTAAACCAGAGAATTTTTATTAACATCCAGTCAGTCACAAGATATTGTGGAAGACTCAAAGAATACAGTGTAATTTTTCTTGACTATACTACACTACACATGTTTATCAAGTATAAATGCAAATGCTTTTTGTCAAACTCTTTAAATCCTTTTTATAATGACCATTTGAAATTGTGAAATGAGAAGCAGTTGCTTAATACAAAATTTTTTGTATTCATATTATTACTGGTTTTTTTTCTAACGTGTATAGACATCTCCAATACTTGAGCTGAAATAAAATTACTATGAAAGTTAACATATTTGCATTTATTTGCATTGAATTTTGAGCTTCTTTTCACAAAAATTGTCTTCAGTCTTCTTATTTCAACTGTGTCCTAGTGTACACTGTGATCTGTATATATTTAAATATACATATCTATAGCTTTTATTCTGCTGCTAATTACTTGTAATTATGCTGCACTGTATCAAACATGTAGCTCAAACAGAAGTTTGAGAAATACTAAGTAATTATCAGGATTTCATCAGGAGTCTTAGCCTTATAATTACATACACTAAACTTGACTTTCCAGTACTGTTCTAAAATATGTAAATTTTTCTAATGAGTATAGAATCACTGTTTTCTAAGTGCTCTCAAATTGCCACACTATCTACATTTTCCTTTCTTTTCTCTCTTTCT